TATGTGACCCTCATGCAGAATTGTGTCAGAAACACAAGGCCCTTGGATGAGATCATAGGAAGTCTGGGGCAGGCCTCTCCCCTACCAGGGATCTCATGTATGCACAGGACAGCTACCTCGTCTCACAGCTGAGGAGCAGCACTTTCAAAATAAAGACCAATGAAAATTGATTAGAAACAGGACATTGCCTGGCTGTCATCAGCAGTCTATATTCAGGTCTCTCAAAAGTACATTTAGAGACATCTGGTCAGGAAGAAGCAGAGAGTTTGTACTACACAGCACCTCTTCTCCAGATATTTATTAGTGACAAATAAAATATGACAAGAGACCTTCAGAAAGACAGGCTGGATTCAGACACGAGGCAGACAGCTCTGTGCACCAGAAGCAGAACAGAAACACCAGGTGGGAAGCACAGTTAACAGGCTCCAGGTCCCGACCCTGGCAGTGGGGTCATAGAGTCCACTCCCATGGGGTCGGGGAGGCCACATGTCCCATTGATTCAAGGGATCAACACCTAGCCTGTTGCTTGAAACCCAAGAGGGAATGGGGTGCTCCTCCTTTGACACACACCCTCCGCACCGAAGAGTGCTGAAAAGCCTCTGCTGACCTGCTGCCTGGGCCTGAGGCTTCATGACCAGGTGTGGACAGAGAATAGTAGAGGACAGTGACAACCCACTTGTGATGTGGATGTGCACCCCGCTCCCTGCTGGCTCAGGGACTGCATGCACTGTAGCCCTCAAATAGTTGCCTGGTAGGACCCAGTAGGCAGCTGTAAAACTCGCTATGGATTGATTCTTTTCACTCAAAGTGAGCCTGAAAATTCAAATTTCAAAACACATGAATAAATCTCCTGCTAAAAGAGATGGCCAAAACTCAACCATCAGAATATAACTGAGTGAAATGAATTTTTATAAAATTTGATAAAGACATTTCCAGGAGAGAGATGAAGCACATTTTTATTTTTAAAAAATCAAAAAATAATGAGCAAAAATAGGTGAAAAGAGCATGGTACATATCTGTAATTCCAGCCACTACTAGGGAGGAAGGCAGGAA